AGAAGAAGAAGAAGAAGAAGAAGAAGAAGAAGAAGAAGAAGAAGAAGGCCAAATACATTTCAAAGTGCAGAGAAGTAAAAATGAACTGTCAGAACATATTGGCTCTCAGAAACGGGGAGGGGGGCAGAATTTCCCCTGCTCCTCTTAAATGCTCCTTTCCCACGCTCTGCTTGTGTGTGAGAGAGAGAGAGAGAAGGAGAATTTTGCATTCTCTCTCCAGACTTCCCTGAGCCAATCAAACAGATGAAAAGATTCACAGTCCAGGCTGAGCTCTTTTGGTCAGCCACTCCAGGCCCCACCACCCACCACCAAAAAAAAAAAAAATACTTCCCAGAAGCTTTTCATAATTCTCCAGCAGCCTTTTTACATTCTGCTCTCCCTCCTGTGCGATGACCGTTTTTCCTAAACGGAGAAAAGCCTGAAAATATGTCCAGCAATATGTTGCAGATGCTGAATTAAAAGAGAGAGAGAAAGAAAACAAAAAAAAAAAAAAGGAAAGGAAAGAAGGGAAGGGAAGGAGAAAGGAGAAAGGAAAGAAGGAGAAAGGAAAGGAAAGAAAAGAAAGGAGAAAGGAAAGGAGGAGAAAGGAAAGAAGGGGAAAGAAAAGGAAAGGAAAGGAAAGGAAAGGAAAGAAAGGAAAAACGTGTCCATCCCACCGATGGAGAAGGAAGCAGCTAAAAATAAATAAACTGTCTGAAATAGAAAGTTATCCAGAATTTCAAAGGAAATTTTAGGAGTCAAAGGCATTTTAGGAGTGAAAGAGGAACAATAAAAAATGGATCATGGAAGGATTGTGGTTGGGGAGAAAATTGTGTTTCTTAAAACAGCTCGTTTAGTGACCTTTCAATTTTTTTTTTACAGCATCACTGAAAAAAGTAATTTATGACCGTTTTTCACACTTTTGACCATTGCAACATCCCCATGGTCACGTGATTCAAAATTCAAATGATTCACAGGCTGCAATCCTGGGTCTTCTGAATTCTGTGAGATCACTCTGTGCTTCTGGGGAAAGTCAGAAAAAACAAAGTGTGAAATTATAATTACGCTTTGCCGTTCTCCGTAAAGAGATTTGCGCAGGTTGAAAGAACAGGCTGCCCGCCGTGCTTTGGGGCAAAACACCAGTGTTGCTTTGCAGTGGTTGTTTGTCTCTGGTGAAGCATCAAGACGATAAAGCAGAAACCAATAAAGAATGCAAAGTGGGGTTTGCTCTCTGAGCAAACGTCTCGCACTGATGATGTTACCTAGTTGGGTAAAGAAACGTCTGCAAGAAATCCACCCAGCTCAGAGAGCACCAAGGACCCCACGTTTCTTTCTTCCCAGAATTGAAAGGGATTCAGGTGAGGTCGATGCTCTGGGGAACCAAAACCCATTTGGTCTCATTCGGCTCACTCGGAGCTCTTCCAGGCGATGCCAAGGTTCACCTGGGCACCTGCTGTGATGGGAACCTGGCATCAAGGTGAAGGCTATGGGGCGCTGTCCCTTCAGCACCAGGGAGGTCCTCCAGGCAAGGTGACCACTGGTGTCCATGCCCTTTGGGTTCCCCGCAGTGAGAATGCCTTGTTTTTTTTCTTCACTAAGGCCAAAGAATCTGAAAGGCAATAAATTTTGCAAATAAAAACAGTGACAGTTCACCAAAGACTACTAGGTGCAAAATAGCCATCCATACTATTTCCATAGCAAGGAAGATCAAGCAGGAAGGGTTGAATTGAATACTTTAATTAAAGAGGAAAGTATGTTCTTATTGGGATATCACTTCTGGAATTTATGCTTGTGTTGAAACTTTGTCTTGGTTTTGTTGAGTAGAAAGATTTGGTGTCATAGAAATGACTAGTATATATTAATATGTAAAAGCAAAAAAGTTGAGATTTGAGAGTGTTTATCTTTGTACTGATCCAGGAAGAGTTGGAAGTCAATGCCTTCTTTTCTTTCTTTTTTTTCTACCCCCACCCCTTGTATTTCACACCCTCTTTTCCCATTCCCTTCCCTTCATTTCCTATTTTCTTTTCTTTTTCCTTTTGTATTTTGTACAATTAAAAAAAAAAGAATGCCCAGTCAAAAGGAAAAGCAAGCAGGTGCTTCCTGGCCTCACCTCCACTTTATTCCACTTAAGGTGACCTGGGGTGCAAGGAGAGATTTCCCACCCACCCACCCACCCAAAAAAGGGACAGGAGAAAAAGGATGGTTTGTAGGCAGAGGCACAAAATGGCTTTATTTAAGGTCTCTATCTGAGGTGGTTAAAGAAGGAAGAGGCGAAGGATGTCTCTACGGCGTACCAACCTGAGGTGTAGCAGAGAAATATCTCTTTGTGTGCTTAGGGCTTTCAAGGGAAATGTCTCCCTGTGTGCTGTGACTGGAGGAGAGTCACAACTGAGGGTTGTGTGTTTGTACACACTCACACGCATGGGACACGCCAAGGTGAATGGTATTCTAGTCTCCTGAAGACAATAAAATAAGATAGATAAGATAAATAAGATAACCTTTATTATCGCTTTTCCTGGCACCCGTTTAAAAACAGGCCCATCTTTTTGTAGTGGTTTCGACCAGCGTGCTGCAAAGGGGGTGCGTGAGTGGAGGTGTTGTGGGTGTTTGTGTGTGCATCCAAGCGGTGGAACCTAGTGAGCTGCGGCAGGGCGAGATGATCCGCAGAGTTGGAGGTCTCGATGACCGAGTGAGAAATGATTACTTGCTGGGTGGGGAGGCAAAATTGGAGGGCTGCAGATTGTGACTGGCTAGAGGGTGTGTGTGTTGGGGGGTGTTGCTTGCACGTGTGAAGAGCGTTTGCTTGTGCTTCGGTGAGTGTGGAAGGAATGTCCACAGCAGAAGCTGAGGGAGCCCACTTGCTTTGCTGCAGGTCTCTTCCAGCCTCCTAGGTCCCCCTCGGCTACCAGACCCATCTCTGCTCCAGGTAAGTCCACTTGTTTCTAAGGGGAGAGTAAAAAGGGGGATACGGGAGACAGGCAGGCAGGCAGGCAATGGAGGGTTTGTTTCTATTGATTGGAAATAAAGGATTGGAAGTTGCCAAGAGCTGCAGGCAGAGAATATTCCAAGAGTTGGATCCTGACCTCCTGCTTGAGAAATTCAGAGGGCTGATGCCTTCCCCATCTCCTGTTCCTAGTAGTCGTGGGAAGAGAAAGGAAGGAAGGAGAGGAAAGATAGGTAGGTAGGTAGGAAGGAAGGAAAAATAGGTAGGTAGATAGGAAGGAAGGAAGGTAGGATCTCAAGGACAGAAGGAAGGAGAAGATAGGAAAGAAGGAAGGAAGGAAGGAAGACAGAGTTGGAAGGGACCTTGGAGGTCTTCTAGTCCAACCCCTTGCTCAGGCAGGAAACCCTATATCTTTTCAGACAAACGGTTGTCCAATCTCTTCTTAAAAACCTGCAGTGTTGGAGCACCCATAACTTCTGGAGGGAAGCCGTTCCACTGAAGGAAGGAAGAAAACCTGTTTATTTCTAGGGTCTCTATGGGAACATTCGCTACACTTTCTTAGCTGACGTGCTCCCTTTCATTTTAAAAAAATAAAGAGTCCTTATAGTCCTTAATCTTCCTTCCCTTCCTTCTCCTTGAAACCTCTGCTCTTCTCCCTCAACCGCGAGTAGCTCCTTCTCAGCTTACCCAGGTCACAACCGTGTCGTTTCTTTCTCCCCCCAATTGTCTCCACCAGCTATGAACCTCTCCTTCAGCCTCATCGTCCTCGGGAGCCAGCCGGAGGCGTGGACGCCACCCAACCTGCCTTTGTCGGGACAGCCAAATGGGAGCCAACCAGAGTTGGGTTGGGCCGAGGTAGAGAAGCTGCTCTTCCTGTTCGACAAAGACCCGGTCACCCTCAGCCTCACCATCCTCTACCTGCTCTCCTTCTTGGTGGGGTTGGTGGGCAACGTCATGTCACTCCGGATGCTGACCCAGAAAAGGAGCCACGCCATGCCCAGCCTGAATGCCACCCGCAGCCTCCTCATCAACTTAGCTATCTGTGACCTGATGGTGGTTTGCATCTGTATGCCCATCACGACTGGGAACCTGGTCTACAAAGCGTGGCTCTACGGAGACGTGCTGTGCAGGGCGGCGCCATTCCTCCAGGCTCTTTCCGTCTCCGCCAGCATTCTCAGCCTGACCGTGATCAGCGTCAACCGCTATTACAGTGTGCACAACCCGCTGAAGGCCAGGTCCTTCTTCACCCGGACCAAGATCTTGACTGCCATCCTGGTTATTTGGGTCTTGTCTTTGGGCATCTGCCTGCCTCTTGCGTTTATGAGCCGACGGGACGAGATCAGGGTGGGCTCCGATCGCCTGTTGGTCTTCCCCATCTGTCGGGAAATGTGGCCCCGGGAAGAGCTCAAGCGAAGCTACAACCTCTTCCTCTTCTGTGCCCTCTACTGCTTGCCAGTCTCCTTCAACGTGGTCATCTGCTACTTGACGGTGCGCCGTCTCTGGAGACCCGCAAGCAGCGCACTTAGAGACTGCGGAGCCTTGAAGCAGACCTTGCTGGCTTCCAGGCTGAAGATCCGCCGGACGGTGGCTCAAATGGTCATCGCCTTGGTCCTGCTCTTTGCCGTTTCCTGGCTGCCCATTTACCTGGTGGACATCTGGATAGAGTTCCACAGCCCCAAGGCCTCACGGGATGAAGAGCCATCTCGTCTGGTCCTGCAACTGAGGGCTTTTTCCCAATGGCTGAGCCTCACCAACTCCAGCCTGAACCCCATCTGCTACTGTTTCGTGGGCAGCCTCTACAGATCCGCTCAGGAAATGAGGAGCCGATACCAGAAGAAGGTGGCTTCCCTTCTCAACTTCTCTCCCTTGGGAAGGAACTGGCTACCTTCTGTGCCCAAGAAGATTTCTCACAGGAGGTCCACAGACTCGGCTAAAAAAGAAGCCGGCCTTGCAACACGGAGAGAAGGCAAAGTAGGCCACAGCCACAGCTGCGGAAGTCTTGCCTAATAGATCATAGATCAACCTCATAGATCAACTCATAGATCAACTAGGGATGACCAATAGGGTGTTGAGGAACCTGCTTCCCACAAGGGTTTGATGTTTCCACGGTGCCTCTTCCCTTGACGTAAGCACCTTCCTGAAGCCGGTAGAAGAGAATAGTTGCAGCTCAGAGTTGAACTGTGGGGTGCCTTGGTGCTCTCTGGGCTTGGTGGGTTTTTTTCCAGACATTTTGTGACCCAACTAGGGAACAGCATCAGTGCCAGAAGGGAGTGGGGTTTGCAGAGAGGAGGGGGGAGGAGGAGGAAGAGAAGGGGATGGAGGAGGAGGAGGAGGAGGAGGAGGAGGAGGAGGAGGAGGAGGACTGTGGGGTCCTTGATGCTCTCTGAGTTCGGTTGTTTTCTTGTGGACATTTCATGACCCAACTAGGTAACTTCATCAGTGCTTCTTGAAGAGGAAACAGTGAATGGAGGACAGGATCTAAACTCTTGCAGTGATGACACAAGTGCCATCATGCTCAATTTTAGCAGTTAACTGCAAGCTTTTGGAGTCTCTCCATGAACCAAAGTCCTCCAAGGAATTACTCCAATTTTTAGCGTCAAAGCCATTTTTCTCCATTTTCATCTTTTACAGCCCCTTCAAACGCCCAGGGTTCCTGCAGATGCAATTTGCATTAAATGTCTTCTGGCTGCGGCAGACAGACATTTAATTCCATTATCACATCAAATTAGAGTTAAAAGGCAGGAAGAAAACGAGAGTGGTTTTTACCTCTAGCTCAGAATCAAGTGCTCCCAGTATGAATTCTTGCGAAAGAAAACCAAAAACAAAAACCAAAAAACCAAAACCCAAAGCTTTCTGGATAGAAAGCAGATTGGGTCTTCTCGCTTTATAGAAGTAAGAAAAAGGCTCTCATAGAATTAAACCTATAGTATGGAAAACTTTTTATCTGGTCTCCAGTTGCAAGCAGTATAGAGTCACTCTTTTCACTGAGAATCCTAGGTGCTAACAGGGAAAGTCCGTAGACTGGGGTCAAAAACATGGCTGCCATCCTGTGATTGAAACTCTACTTGTTTTGAGTTGGTTTTTATGGGATGATTGAGTCAGTTGGACTGCAACCAATGTTGGAGGGGGCAGTCTAACAACTCAGTTGATGAAATAGAGTTTGGCGTAGTGGCAGAGGCATCAGGCTATAAACCAGGAGATTGGGAGTTCTAGTTCCGTTTTGGGCGTGAAAGATGATCGGGTGATTTTGGGCCAATCACCAGGAGACGGTGAATTCTACTCCTGTCTTGGGCATGAAAGCTAGATGAGTGGCATTGAGCCAATCAACAGGAGACAGTGAGTTCTAGTTCCACCTTAGACATGAAAGCCAACTGGGTGATTTTGGGCCAATCACCAGGAGACACTGAGTTCTAGTCCTGCCTTAGGCACAAAAAACAGCTGGGTGATTCTCTCTCCACCTAACCCAACTCACAAGGTCGGTTTGGTGGGGAAAAATAGGAGGAGGAAGGAATATTGTGTGTGTTCGGTGCCTTGAATTATTTATAAAAATGAGAAAGGCAGGACATAAATAAATAAACAAATAAACATTCACAGCTTCTCCACTTGCTAACCATCTGGAGACCTGTGATAATGGAAAAGATAAACGCTCAGACTTTGTGGTATATGTGCAAAGGCCAATCAAACGTTAAATCTCCCTGCCACTCCAGAGACCAAGGAATGGAAACTCCAGAATCTGGAATTAATGACCCGAAAAGAAATGAAACGGACACACAACACTGAAGTTGTCAGGTATGTGTTAATTTCATGTGATAAAAGCTGGGATGTTGACGTTAAATCAATCTCTTAACTCGCTCAGCCCTGCAAACAAAGCTCAAGGACATTAAAAGGCTATTTGCCGAGAGATGGAAATGGAATTGTGCTCGGTTTCCCATGAGACCCAAATATTGCCTCCCGGATATTTTGATATCTCGGGCAGGTGCAGCAGGACGGAAAGCCCCACAACTCCAAACTGGAAGATGATACAGCATCTATCAAGTCAGCTGCCATCAAACAGGAAAGAGTCAAGAGATGCCACTCTCGACAAAGGGTCTGATAGTCATAGTTGCATTCCTGATCTTAGTTTTGCAGTCCAGACTGCCTCAAAAAAAGGCCTAGCCAATAATACATAATAAAAAATAAATTTGAAGTGTTCCCCGAACTTCAGCTACGAAGGGACTCCTCATTTCAATGCACCTTCCTGCATCCTTCACCAATTTCCCTGCAAAGCAAGCAAGAAAAACAACCAAGAATCGTAACCTTTTCATTCTCACAAAAAAACAAACAAACCAGAGTCTGGTAAAGTCACCTTAAAGAGTTCTAGAAGAACATATTGTCCAAATGCGCCCTCTTGTGGCAGGAGATGGAGATTCTCCTCTAGTTGGCAGAGTTCTGGAGCCCCCTACCAGTCTTTCTATCCGGCAGATTTCACACAACTATGCCAGGATATTCATGAATCTGCCATCCAAAGCAGCCGGGGAAAGCTTGTCACCTCAAACCTAGCCCTGGCTTGTTTCTGAGCATCGAAGGAACGGTCAACAGACCGCAGTTCTTGCCATGTTGGTCTTCCCGGCTGCAGACAAAGCAAGCGGCTTCACTAAATATTATCTTTCCCCCCCAAAAAAAAGCTGCCGGAAGAAGGAGGTGCAAGTGAGAGCAATCACAATGATGAAGCATGGAGAAAACCACCTGGCCCCCTCTCTGATATTTACATGGCTCAAACCATGATGCCACTTAGATGCCTCCTGGAAGAAGCAGATGACCAGGAGTTATTTCCTGGGTGTAGGAGGAAGGGCCCTGGTGCCACGTTCAGATCCATGGCCTCAAGAGATCCCCCTTGCTCTGCTCCATTCCTTCAGTCTTGGAAAGCCAAAGCTTTTAGTTGAAAATACACCCCAAGACCAGCACCAAGGAAATAACAAAACAAGACTTTATTTTGAGAGGTCCTTGGTGGTCTTTGAGCTTGGTTTTTTCTTGCAGGCATTTCGTTCGGTGGCACAGTGGTTAGAGTGCAGTACTGGAGGCTACTTCTGCTGCAGCCAGCTGCCTGAAATTTGGCAGTTCAAATCCCACCAGGCTCAAAGTTGACTCGGCCTTCCATCCTTCCAAGGTGGGTAAAACGAGGTCCCAAATTGTTGGGGGCAATATGCTAACTCTGTAAAACCACTTAGAGAGGGCTCTAAAGCACTATAAAGCGTTATATAAGTCTAAGTGCTATTGCTATTATCCAAACCAGATAACATCATCAAAGCCCCCAAGCTTAGAGAAGCACCAAGGACCCCTCATTTCCATCCAGAGCTACAAATATTCTTTATTAAGTCTTGATTTTGATTGTTGAAGTTGACTGATGGTGGAGAGGAAGAGATATAGAGGGACATGGTCCAAAATTCTAAGGTGCTTTAGGAAGGACATGGTTGAGAAAGCAGAGATGTGGGGAAATGACTTACAGAAAGGCGGGGGGAGATAGCATAGGGTAGATTGAGTCACCTTGAGAAGGAAGGGAGACAACGAGAAGACCAAGAAGATTTCAACGTGGAAGTGGCAGTGGAAGAATGAGAGCGGAGCAGAAGGATGCCAATGAAGTCAAAAGCATTTGATCTAGGAGAATTAGAGAAGGTTTCCTTGTAAGATTATATATTTATGTGCCAGTTGAAAAGAAAATATTTAGGCTGCTGAGCTGCATATTGCAAATATTAAAGGAATCCTATATTGGAGAGACTGAAAGAAACGGATTATTTGTCCCTAAAGTCAAAAAGGCCAGCGTTATGTTTATGCCCTTGGCTGAGCTCAGCTCTCTGTTCATTGTGTCCTGGAGGAAGTGTTATATTAATATAGTGAACATAAATATTTTGCAGCTGGGAAACTCAGTTTAGGGGAGTGATGGCTTCACTTGGAAAATGTTGTGAGCCAGGAGGCAGATACAAGACCTGAATTAACCTTCTTTGGCCTTGGGGGGGTGGGGAATGGCTTGTGCAGAATCTTATAGATTAACTTTAATACTGAAAAACAAGGGGGAATCAGGATACGATGATACCTGAAATACGTTTTACCTGTGGTTGCAAAAAAGATGGGAAGGTTGGAACAAAAATAACTAGAAGGATTAGAATCAAAATGTAAATATTGTACCAATAATAGAAACGTTAATGGTTTGGTTATATTTTTGTATGTAAGGCAAAGTAATGCCCAAATGCTTGCACTGTGCTTAATACTTATCGTTGTAAACAATAAAAAATATATTCCAAAAAAAAGGGGGGGGAAAATTAAACGTTAGGAGAAAATGATCATCTTGAACCAGTGCTTTCCATCATAGCTAATAATCCATGGCAGCTGGTGTGTCAGGCTCAGGATAGGCTGGATTAAAATCTCAATCCCATAATGCCCCAGAGTTGGAAACAAATCAAAGCGGGTGTCTTCCTGGGGAATTCTGGGAGTTGAAGTCCACCCATTGCAAAGTTGACAAGGCTGAGAATCATTGATTTAAACCATTGGTGTGTTCTTCTTCTTGACCAGCTTTTTTCTTTTCTTTTTTTTACTGCTTTTAGCAGTTTTCCACCTGCTTATATGAAGTTTAGGAAACTCTGCCACTGAACTCTAAATTCCCAAAAGAGAAATATGCAAATATTGTTTAACATTCCCATGCTGATACTTTGCATTAAAAACCAAATATCGAGGGATTGTATGGCGCGGAGAAACAGCGCCATGCAAGCTTGAATTGCTAAGGCTGAAGAAACTTATAGAGTCTTTTATAAATGAGATAATATCCAGGAGCCACTGGCCATCACAAGCTACTGAACAACCTCCGCAAAACGCTGGTGTCATCTTTTAACATGTGAATAATACCGCCTGTGTTAGCACGATGGCTGGAGTAGACATGGACACTGTAAATACGTCATTCAGAAGCTCCCTTTCTTGCTTTTCCAGATGCTTCGAAGTTTGCGTTGGTTAGTCTTTCCACAAACCCCCTTTTCATTTTCCTCTAAACCAGTACTCCAAAGGGGAAGGAAATCCCCAAGGGATATTTTGGGGATAGCTGAGGTCCAGCTTGTTTTCACAGCTCTCATCCCCCCACAGACAGTTGGCCCAGTTCAACGCTTCCTTGTCTCATTCTGGCTCGGTTGCCATTCCACAGCCCCACCTTTATTTCCAGGGCAGAAAACAACCATTGCAAACAAGAGCTTGTTCCAAAACCTTCACTCATATCTGCATTCCAACAGATGCAAGGAAACAACATGGCTTAACACCGCTATAAATCTCCTCCCCTCCTTGTTAATTCCTCCTCCTCCTCTTCCCCTTCTCTTTCTCCCCTCCTCCTCCTCCTCCTCCTTCTTCCATATTTGATTTGTCTAGACTCACCCACCACAACTTATCTATCTGCCTGGCTTTTTCGTTCCGGGCAGAACCTTCTCATTAATTTTAGGCAATAGACCGACTTGATGGTGGCTTGCCAGGGGAGGAAGATTTACATGCCCTAAAGGGTTCTTTTTCCCCACAGAAGAAAAGAACGATGCTTAGAAGCCTTAGGTAAACATTCGTGTTTGACAGGTTGCTTGTTTGGGATGCTCCTGGAGGAGGCACCCCACCTGGGCACTGAAAACATTCGCTCGGAGATTGAAGGGGTAGAAGATTCTTGGTTCTTAATTTGTTGTGGTGGTCCTTCCTATTGCTTTGTCCCAACAGGTGAGGGACCTTGGTTCAAAGGACCTTACTGGACCACCAACCCAAGGTGTTGAGTTCAATTGATGCACATTAATGGCCCAAAGAACTTCAGGAGAACATATTCTGGATTCTTGGGGGGTTTTGCTTCCCCGATTCCTGAAACATGGAAGTGTTGAGGGCCAGGCCTCTTTTAAAGATCTGGGAAACGCCCACATTATCTAGTTATATATATATTTTTTTAGAATCAAGACCGATGAATATGCACAAAAACATGTTGTTCCCATTGAGGATTTGCAGACCTTTTCTACCCAAGATATTACAAACTGTTCCTGTTTGCCTCTTGGTGCACATTCCTTAGCCCAAGCACAATTCCTAACTTTGCTTTAAGAAAACTACAACACACACTCTCTCTGCTCTTTCCCAGTCCCTTCCACCTCGTGTGGAAAAATGACGAGACTGTCAGAAATGAATAGATTCAGGATCGCTTTTTGGGCAATCCACCCTTGTTTATCTTTTCCGTGCAAAAACCTGACAAGGGCCTTGCCTTGTTTTTCTCCAAGGGTGAGTCACACATTCCAGATTTTGGCAGCAAGCAAAGTTGCAAATGCCAGAAGGGCAGATTTACACGTCTTACTATCAGCTGCTCCCGATGTGGAGAGTTGGAGCAACTAAGGAGCTATGAAGAATCTAGTTCTTCTGGCTCCAGAGATATGCAGGAGGAAGACTTGGGTCTCCTTCCACAAAACTGGGAGGGGGAAAAAAGGAAGGAAGAAGGGGACGCTGGGCCAAATGCCAAATTCTGTGCAACTTTGGCATAAGTGAAATGGCAAGTATTAAAGGAATGCACTTAAAATGGCCAACACACTCCAAGAGGGGTCGTAATAGCTGAGATATCCAGTGGCAATTGAGGCAGGGGGTTTATTTTATCGGTGTTGGGGTCTTCTGAAACCTCAGCTTCTACAGAACTTTGAACAAACGCAAATACATCATCTTAAAGTCTTGGTTGCCCCAAAGAATCTTTGCTTGTATTTTTCTGTAGACCAGGATTCCACAAAGCTGTAAACAGGTCACAACAATTCCTGGGAGGCAGGCTTAAAGATCATGGGATGGTTTGTTGAAACCCAGACAGTTGTCTCTTGCAAATTGCATCTGGACTGTGGCACACTTCGTACTATTTTTTTTTTCTTACACTTGAGATTACAGCCAAAATACCGAGGAAGCCATGGTTTAGAAAGGCCAGTGAACCTGGTTAGTGGTATTTTTCCCCAGAGGTCTTTTCCAAACACCTTACCAAATAAAACTTTTGGCATATTTGTAGGGTTTTCTAAAATGAAAAAAATAAAATAATGATACTGGCTGACTTTGGACCAACCACTAGGGGACAGTGAGTTCTAGTTCTGCCTCAGGTGACTTTGGGCCAGTCCTTCTCACTTAGCCCATCCCACCTCACAGGGTTGTTGCTGTGGGGGTAAATAGGAGGAGGAAGCTGTGTTGGATACATTCACCACCTTGGGTTATTCGTAAAAATAATAAAGGCAGGAAATAAATAAGTAAGTAAATAAGTAAATAAATAAATTTATGCACACAACTGCAACCAAGAATCAGTACCTGCTGCTTTACCACCAATGACTCTGAACCCGCAGCGTTTTTCTCACCCCATCCCACCCTCTGGGGTTTGGGGGGGGGGAGTTTGAACAGAAGCAACGTAAGAGGACACACTTTTTCGTTCTTCCTTCCCACGGCAAGCTCCGTATTAAATATTTTTTTTAATATATTAATTCTTTCTTTCCATTTGTTTTAAACGCACCCCAAAAAAGCATCAACATAAAACAGAGGCAGAACCCACCGGATCATAACACAAATGCAAAACTCAAGAGGTCACACTGGACAAAAAAAAACCCGAAGGGGGCTGGTTGAGGCTTGAGACCCTTTCCTGCAGAAGAGTCGGGAGTTCGCCACTGAGCGATGTGTAAAAGGCTGTAGAAAAAGGTACACTTGTGGAAGTCCACCTGGAAGGACCTTGTTATTTGGGGCAGGGGTCCCCAACCTTTCCAGCTTTGTGGAACGGGGGAGGGGAGAGAGAGGAAATGGTTCCATGTGCGAGCGGCAGGCAGGTGTGCTCACACACGCAGCACCACTGGCACAAGCAGCAGGTTCTCGCACACGGCCGTGAAGTTCCATTTGTGCGAGTGACGGCCACTCGTGAGCATTCGTGAACCTCTATTTGTGCAAACGGCGGGCGCTCGCACGATGCATGGTGCCCCATTTGTACACCTGATGGGCACTGGCACTCACGCGCATTTGTGAAGCTCCATTTGGGTGAGCAGCGGGCACACTTGCCGCTCACCCGAATGGAGCGTCACGCGCACACACACACAGGGCGAGGGCCCACCGCTTGCCCGAATCGAGCTGAGTTTGTGCACACTCACCTTCTGCTCGCGCGGCCTGGTTCTCAACAGGCCGTAGCCTGGGAATTGGGGGACCCCCTGATTTGGAGGACATCAAATAAGGAGGATTCTTTGGGATTTGGGGGCAGAGGGGCGGGGAGGAACACTCCTCCACCTGGCTCTTGCTCAGTTTTTGAGCAGGTTTTCCGGTTTGGGATAGCCGAAAAGTACGAAATCGGCTTCGTAGAGTTTGTACAGCCGCTGTCGCCATGCCATGGGGATTTTAGCGAACCAGTCTTCCTCCCAACTGTTGGCTGTCCTGTTCCGGTAGCTGGGAGGGAAGTGGAGGAGATGGTCCACCTTGAGAAGCTGCAACAGGTACGTGGCGTCTTCGTCCAAGGTCTCCAGTTTGCCGACAAAGTCATACTCGATCTGGCAGGGGTGACATAGGCGGTACACCTGCCTCCAGTGCTCGTTGAATGGGGCCAACTTTTCTGTCCGAGGGTCCAGTAAGTACTGGATGAAGTCTGAGAAGGAGACCCGGAAGCCACCTTCGAAGGCTTCGCTCACTGACGTCGGCAGGCTGCTGTAGTTGGCGTAAAGCTTGAGCATGGGGATGGCAAACCGGCGGTAGAATTCCTCGTTGGCCAGCTCAAATTTGCTCCGGAAGGCCGAGATGAGCCGAACGAAAGGATCCCGGACAAAGAGGAACTTGGTGTACTTCTTGAGCTTGATCTTCATCAGGTGGCGGGAGAACTTGCCGTAGCGGCGCCAGAATTTGTTGAAGGTGAAGTGGGTGCTGGTGTTGTGGACGTTCTCGCGGGGAATGTCCAAAGGGTCGACATAAGGGACGCCTTGGTCCATTAAGCTTTCGCTCAGGACAATCATCACCCGCTTCCAGTTGGTGCAGGCCACTTTGGGGACGTAGCAGTAGATGATGCCGTGACGGTCATCCACAATGAGGTGGTTGAGCTCATAGTTGGGAATGTCGTCGAAGGTCCTCTCCTTGGTCGGGAAGGAGAAGCTGGAGTTAGTGCACCAGTCCTGCAACATCTGCCGTCTCTCCTTCTGCAGCTTTGCTTGGTCCAGCACCATGTTGACTTCCCGGGTGGGCCACTCGTAGCCTCTGACATTCTCCTCCAAGTTGCTGGCCCCGGGTTTGCTTGAAGGTCGCAGCTTCGGCTTCTCGGCCTTCCAGCCCAGATCGAGGTTCTTTTTCAGGTTGGAATTTAAAAGGTTCTCCAAAAAGTCGTCCATCTCCAGCAGAGAACCTGGGTTGTCCTTCACCGCTGTGGGGAGCGCCCCCTGAGGCCTCGAGAGGGTGGTGTGGAGGTAGAAATGCGCTGTCCCGACATTGTCCCAATACACAATGATCAACAAGATCATGAAAATGGAGCCGAGGACCACCGAGAGACGGAAAAGCCGTGCCTTGGTCATGGCTGCCAGGTGGGATCTTCAGCTACTTCCTTCCTGAGCTCATCTCCAACTCAACGGGAAACCTCTGGAATCCAACATGGCTTCGATGGAAACCTGCAGGGGGTACCAAGCACAACGTGAATGTTTTTTTTCGCAAACATTATTAGAGAGAAAATACAGAACAGGCCAGCCTTCCCCAGCCTAACCTCCTTCAAGACATCAAATGGAATTTTGGAGAACTGGAGAAAGGTTGGGATGCGAGGGGTCCTTGTTGTTCCTTGAGTTTGGTTGTTTTTGCGCAGATGTTTCCTTACTCAGCTAGGTAGTATCTTCAGTGGAGTGCTTGATGCTCTTGGGGCTTGGCGGTTTTCCTGCAAGGCGTTTCATGACCCAACTAGGTGACATCATCAGTGCTAGAAGGAAGTGGGGTTTGCTTTCTGAATGCTCTCCCATCTAGCACTGATGATGTTACCTAGTTGGGTCATGAAATGTCCATAAGAAAACCACC